TGGTTCACTAAAAAATTCTAAAGCCAAAGACATTCATGGTTTGGACACTCTTCTAAAATTATGCAAAGAGTCTTGTATTGCCCCAATAACACAAATGGTTAATTTGTCAATCAATCAGAGTTGTTCCATCCTCCTGGAAACTGGCCACAGTTGCTCCAATTTTTAAAACTGGTGACAGATCGCAAATATCCAATTATCGACCAATTTCTATACTTCCAGTTGTTTCCAAGATTGTTGAGAGATGTGTAGCAAATATTATAAATTAACATCTGAACAGTAGCTCGTCTGGCTTGCATGCCTTGCAATTTGGTTTTAGAGCAAACCATTCCACTGAATCAGCAAACAGCTTTTATAGAAAACGTAAAAAGTAAATTAGATATATATAGATGTGTTGGTGCAGTGTTCCTTGATCTTAAAAAGGCATTTGACACTGTCAGCCATGAAATTCTGATAGCAAAATTAACAGACTTCAACTTCTCGCCAGAGGCCATTCAATGAAATCATATATAGCTTCACGAAAACAATGTGTACATATTGGCAGTGTAAAGTCATCAATCCAGGATGTCTCAGTCGGTGTGCCGCAAGGATCAATACTTGGCCCCCTATTATTCTCACTGTACATAAATGATCATCCCAAAACATGTACTAATGTGAGTTTTCAAATGTATGCAGATGATGCTGTAATATATACTCAGCAAGGAGCGTTAAGGAAGCAGCTTCCATTTTGACCTCAGCCATGGAGCAAGTAAATGACTGGCTGTTTAAAGAGCGACTAAACACCTGTGCCCAGCCTTACTCCGCCCACATGAAGATTTGAAAATGTTCTCTAAAAAGGGCGTTGCCTGGAGGACCAAGGGACAAGAAGGGGGGCTTAGAGTTGGGCGTGGTCTGGGCTGTGATTGACAGCTCACTTGTCACACTAAAAAAAACAGACAGTTGTCATTGCTGCTTAAAGCAATAGTTTACAGACCAGAAAGTCTCATTCCACCCTTGTTTACACACTAAGATAATTGTAAAGCTACACACCTGAATCTAATCACACTCAATAATCTCAGAATGACTCATGTAATTTAATTTTAATCCACTAGATGGCGCCAGAATACTCCAAACTGCAGCTGGGGCGTGTGTGAGAGTTGAATGGGTTCACATCACTGGCTCTGACAGACTGACGTCACACAAAACAACTGATGTCATAGAGAACTTCAGAGTCAATGGAGAGGCCAGGACCAAATTCAAATGTAGTACCACCAAAAAGGTTGAGAGGGCACCACACAGCGTTTTTTGGCTCAAAAGTGATATTTTATCTAATTTGAACTAAAATGTCAAAAGAATGACCAGGATATGTAGACAGCACAATAAACATACTTATGCAGTTTATGAGTTAAAAAAAGTTGATTTGGTGTTTAGTCGCTCTTTAAATCATGCTTGCTTCTAAATTCTTAAACGGTCTGTATGATGTTCTCCAAGCAATCAAAAGTGATAAAAAATTCTGAAGTTTTCTTGAGAGGGGAAGAACTACAACTTGTCACAGAATTCAAGTATCTGGGTCTGACACTCGACTCCACTCTTATCTTTCAAAAATCATATAAAAATCATATAAAACATTTTTTTTTTAAACAAATCAGGTCTTTTTTAACACTTAGTGCAGCTAGAATGTTTCCCCATTCAATGATTTTATCCCATATTGAATATTACATCACAAGTTGGTCTCTCACCTCTGTAACCAATTTGAAAACAATTGAATCTCTGTATAAGAAATCTCTTAGTTTTTGACAGAAAACCAATTCATTTCATGCATGCAATATTTTAAGCAAGCGCAATCTTTTAAATTTTGAACGTTTTATCAACTTTAAGTATATATGCTTCATTTACAAAGCGCTACATGGACTAGCCCCACCTCCTGTATCGGCCTTATTCAAACCTAGGACTTCAAGTGGCCTGAGGACTAGGGCCTCCTCCAGAGACTGTGAGGTCCCCTTCAGAAAAACTACCTTTGGACAGAACACTCTCTCTGTGAAGGCCATGAACATCTGGAACCGTCTCCCTCTGCACTTACGGGAGAGTCCTACACTGGTCACCTTTTAAAACTCAAATCAAACAATGGCTTAAAAGAAACCAGTCATGTGACCACTAGACTCTGAACTGTTCCCTGTGCTGTCTGTATTGTAGTGTTATTTTGTATTTTATTGTATTGTATTTTGTCATGTGTTTTCCTGCCTAGGGACTACGGATGAAAACTAGCTTTGTAGCTATAATCCGGCATATTTACATTTGTTTTATACTGATGTTCATTAATGTGCATTGTCCCTATCAAATAAATAAATAAAAAATGCACTGCATGGACATGGATAGCATTTTCGTAATAAATACAAAAATAAAGTCAGTTAGTGCAGCTTTAATTCAGACAGAAGACATGTTTTATTGTTGATGGTAGAGACAGCTCCAACAAGGATGTAAGAAAATGCAAGTGTATTATACAGCATGGAGGAATGCAGTCCTCCAATCAGCGTTTGCCACAGTGTGCTTGTAGCTTCAACCTTGAGATAACCAAAAAAGTAGTGGAAAAGTACAGGCTTCTGCATATGGTTAGAATGATGTGTTTAACTTTAACAAAAGTTGCTTCAAAGTGTTATGAAATCTCACACAACCGATACCCAAACCTTGTAGACTAATACGTGGATTTATCAAAGGTTAATGGAAATACAACAGAGCAGAGGGATAACAGTCAACACACGCTCACTGCATATGGATTTAGTAAGCAATCTTTATTTATATACCGCCTTTTCACTGCAGATCTGAGTCTCAAAGCAGTTTACAATTATTGTTTTTTTTATTTTTTTGGGCCTTTGTCCTCTTTGTCCTTTTTGGGCCTATTGTACATATTTTTAGTGGTAGGGGAAACCGGAGTACCCGGAGGAAACCTACGCAGACACGGGGAGAACATGCAAACTCCCCTCAAAGGTCCTGGGTCCGACCGGGATTTGAACCCAGGACCTTCTTGCTGAGAGGCGAGAGTGCTATCCACTCAGCCACCGTGCTGGCCAGCTGATTTAGACTTGCCCCAATCCTTTACAAATGAATGAAATAAAGCAAAAGAAAAGTGCAAAACCAATAGTTTACAAAGTACGTATGTCTGAGACCAGGTCCAGATGAGAATGTTATGTACTCTGGTCACTCATTGCTTGTTGGTAATCTCCACACTTATGGAAAGAGATTCTCATACAACTATACACACAACAAATTAAATAGCACAAAACAGAATGGAAACACGTGAATACTGCAGATAATACGAGATAAAGCACAGTAGCACATGAAGAACATTAGCTTAGCTTACTATCGATAGCTAAATGAAGCTAAATGTAGCTAGCTCACTGTGAACAATAATCGAACATTTACACGAGTAAATGCATTTCAGTGAGAGCTTTGGGCCAACGGGATACGTAGCTAACCAGTTATTTCCAGGATTACCACATATCCAGAGCTGGGTGATCTCCCTGAAAACAGTGTTGAGCCTCTAGCTGCCTTTTGAATTCTTTCTTTCGGCCTGAAGAAAATAACGTGTGGACCTCGTCCACCGACCAGACCAGTACGCTGACTTTTGGGGCTTTCTGTGCGATTCCATTTCTCTGGAGTGAGGACTTAAGCCTAGTGTATACTTGCGCGGCGTGGCTTACGTTAGCGGTTGCGGTGGACCTACGTAAGCACAATGGATGTTATACTGGCGCGTTCCCCTTACGGAGTTTTGAGGAGAATGTTGTAATCCCACAACAAACCACATGAGGGCGATCACACAGGAGCGGTCCCATTTACGCTGCTACTTTGTCCTCTTCAGAACAACTATAGCAAACAAAGCTGTTTGAGCTCATTACACGTGTTTCTACTGTAGGTTTATGTGATAGTTTTATGGATTCATTATTTTATAAGTCATTTAAACTGTGATGCTGTGAGTAAAGACACAGTTCTTGTTGGAAACAGTTATTATTAAATAGTTTTCAGCACAAACAGCAAAACAATAGTGGTAAATATCGGAGACAAACATGAACGATTTACGAGTGCAGGAGGAAAGCAACAAACGCAGCTACGATTCAAACAAGACAGTGCAAAACAAACGACTGCACAGTTTATTAGTTATATATATGTTAGATATAAGTTATATATATGTTAGATAGTCCACAGTCTCCTGTATATCAGGCTCTGAGCCCAAACTGCTTTTCCTTCGAAGCACAAAGCTCTCTGCTCCATAGTGCCTCGTCCATTGTCCCTGCTGCAGCCGCTTCATGCTTCCTTCCAATACACACACACGGACCAATCACAGCGGAGATTCCTTACGTAGTTAGAAAATGTCGATGCTGCGCGGCAGGCGACGTAAGGGCCTTGCGGTGACCAACGCGTTGCGCAAGTATAAACTAGGCTTGAATGTAGCCCAAGCAGAGCCAAGCAGAGCAGCCGGTAAAAGATGGCGGTTGATTTGTTTTTCCCAAAGGGTCAGATGTTGCTTCCAGTGACGACACTCATTGACCAATCAGTGTAAGGCAGTGGGCCAACGTCACATCATGGTATCGGTACTACGGAGATGGAACCACAGTCGAGGTGGTGCGAAAAAAGTAATGCAAACTGATACTATTCCCAGTGGAAATGCAAAATAACCGTGCCGTACCGTACCAAACCGTACTGATACTGTGGAAAAGCGGCATTACTGGGGCTCCGTGGTCCGGCTTCAGCGGTGTGTTTGTTGCGTGCGCGGGTTACCTGGGGATGCTCCCACGGCGCGCAGAGTGGTTCTGTGCGTGTGTGGTCTTGTATGGCCGTGTTCCCGTGGCGCCATTTTCCGTGTTGTTAGCGGCTCGCGGCCGCTTGAGGGGGGGGGCCTCTGTCAGGGGTGTCACACATTTGAAGTGTAACTGGAGATGAAAATGAAGGATGACTCATTCTTTACAATCTATAGGGGACTCTGAAGTGGAATACTTTGCAAGGCTTGTCAGTGCTCTGGTGTTTTGCAGGTGGAGGAGGTGAACGCATGTCTTCAACGGGAGCGCGAGGCAGAGGTCCAGGCGCAGCAGGTGGCTCGGGCCTCAGAGCAGGCCTCAGGAGGAGGCGGGTCCACAGGGAAGGGCTGGATTCAAGACGACTTGCAGCTGCTGATAAAAGCGGTCAACCTGTTTCCAGCCGGCACAAATGCCAGGTCACTGTTCATTCAGTACTTCACACAAACGTTGTCAAACTGGCCCACCTCTGCTCCGAGAGCAGATCCATTCGTTTTGAATAATTTAATTCAGGGATGGTGCTCATTGATAAACATCAAACAATGCTCAGTTTGAACAAATTTTAGGGTTGTCACAGAATGAACACTTAAGCTTCCAGAATTAACAACTTGATTACATTTGGCATACATTTGCATGGTTTTTTAATATTATTAGTGAAAAATGGGGACAGTTGTCTTCTAGATTCAGGCCTAGATATTTGGTCATCACAGCTGTTATTATCTGTTATTGAGCGGAGCTGGTTCCGCAGGGGCATGTGCACAATGGTCCGTGGACTTTAGGACAAGCTGTGCCGGAATAAGCACTGAAACTTCTCTGTAGCACTTGTTTAACTCATTGACTGCCAGCCATTTTTGATGACTTAACTAATTTTAGGCTCACGGAATATTCTTTTGTATGACTGAGAAATATGAAACCAGAGTCAGCAAAAAGTTTGTTTCTAGCTTGTTTTGTTCTCCTCTAATTGCCAGTCGAAAAGAGGGGAGTGTGACAGAAAGCACCAGGCTGAGAAAATGAGGTGTTTGTGAAAATGGTCGAACCATGCAGAAAAGTGATGGTAACACTATTTAGTTTAACTTTAGAGTCTCCTCAAACATGTCCAGGATTTTACATGCTAGAAAACAGCAACAAGTTATGAGAAAGTGTTTTTGATGAAAAATAATACGTTTTATTGCACCCACATCCAAAAAGTGTTGCTCGAATATTAGGTGATGCAATATTTGTCAATAACAGTAAATTACAGAATAACAAAATTACAATGATAAACACTGTTCACTTTGATTTATTGTCATTTATAGAGTATATACCTATACTCTAAGTGCAATAAACTACTGTTGTGTGTCTGTGTTTGCGCACGCATGTATGTGCGTTTATGCGCACGTTTGTGTGGTTATATCTACAGAGGTGACGATAACCGGAGTTTGCCGGTGGGTTCAGTGACGGTATTAGCGATAGTCCACTTTTGTGTGGCTTTTTTTAAGGGTGCTCTGCTGCTCAAACTGCCTCCAAATGAAGCCTGTCCCTGACTATATTCCTCCATGCCTTCTTCGCCTCTGTCTCTCTGCTCACAGCGCTCAGTCAGTGACCTTAAACCAAGGCACCCACAGAGTGCTGCTGCCACCTGCTGGCTCAATGAAACTCTTGTCTACAGCCAAACCCCAGACATATATGATACAGGGGACACAGACAGAGAGGAAAAGGGTGAAAAACTATGTTCACTTTCATAGAATTTGTTTCGATGTCTCAATATGGGAAACACCCCCTCAGGTGTTCACAGAAGCTCTATACCATTACACCAGCCTTGAGTGGCTGGCAATGGTTACGTTGCGATGTCGGCACCCACTACAAATGCCACTCGTACGACCTCACCTGCCATTCAATCACCTCTTCACTAAGCCAAGCTAATTCAACTGTTAAAAGGCAAGAGCTAATCCCTCTGCTGCCGAACGTTAGCTGTCACTACACAGGACAGTTAGTGCGTGACTAACTTTGGAGTAGCGACAGTGGCTCAGTTGGTAGAGTATTGGCCTTTGAGCCTGAAGGTCGTGGGTTCAAGCCCACTATGAGACTTTCTCCGACTTCCACTGATGACTGCTGTCGTTGTGTCCTTGGGCAAGAAACTTAACCCCACTTTGCCTGAAGCCCCTGCTGAAAGATCAAGGCTATGCCATGGACTCACCACCGGCAGGAGGATCAGTGAGGTGCTGGTGCTATGTGTACTGGGTGGCATCTCAAACCAACATGTATTGACCCCTTGCATGTGACGTCCCGGCCACGCCCACTCTCCATGACAGACGTCAGAAGTCTAACTGCGAGCCTAGGACACCTGACCAAAACAACCTGTTTCAGCACGTTACAGCCAAAACTGACATTTTGCAGTGCGATTGATTATACTAACAGGCAAGGACATAAGCTTTTTTATCTGATACCTGCTCGTCATGAAGACAGAAGACGACGATGGCCAGCGGCAATCAACCAAAAGGACTGGGACCCATCCAAGTACTCCCTAATATGCAGTGAACACTTTTTACAAGATAAAGCAATCACAAGTTTGTATTTATTTTATTTCCATTCATTTGGAGGACAATGACACGTCAAACGTGTCTCTTACTACTGTCCTGTATGTGCGCTGCAACATTAACATTTTTATCTTTTAAGTCAATTGCGTGTTTCACTATTTTCCTCTCCGTCAGTACGTATCATGTTTGGCTGTAGACAGAAAAGCCACAGAAAAGTGGACTATTGCTAATGCTACCAGCAAAATGTACATATAAATCTGCTCCAGTGTGAGGGGATGCATTGTTAACGATAATGATAAAGATAATGTGTGAATTTGGGCAAAAATAGACATTTTATTTAATCGATAAAATTGACTGGGGGGAGAAGGTACGGGTCAACATCCAGTTAGGCAATCCTTAACTTCTCCAAATACCGCTCTTTGTGAGCCCTGACCTGATGTCCTACTTCCACCTATAACGTAATCGAACATTGCTTGAAGCAGCCACTTCTCGATTTAGGAGAGGAAGCTCCGTTTTTAAGAGTTGTGTCCGTTTTGCTCTCGCAGCAATGCGAGTTTCCAATACTTCCGCCGTAAGCTCATTCACAATCACAGTGACTGGATGACGTTGATGCATCTGGTCAATATGTGTAACAAAGCTGAAAGTAGGCTGGACGATCTAGGTTTTCTTACATATAATCTAGTTGTTTAGTACTTACTCGTGGTATACCGAATTAGAAATAGCTACGCTAATGATTAGCTAAACATACACAAAGATGATGACATGATTAAACAAGTAGTTATACATACCATCAGCGCCGACAATCGTTGCCACTGAACGCCAGGCTTTGTCCTTTAGATTATCCTTGTAATTTGGATCTTGTGCCGAATAAAGTGCTGGAAAATGCTCTACAGCTTCGATGAGTTTCGTGTCCTCCATCTCAGCTGTGACACCGGGAAAAAAAGCCTACAGGTGTGTCCCCCGGGAAAAAATGCTCACAGATGTGACCCCGGGGAGAAAAAGCCCCCTAAGTCATCTCCATAGACTGAATGTCAAATGCGGTGAGAAATGTACTTCATGTATTGTACACAGTTACAAGAATATGGACATGTGGTGTCTTCAAAGCACAAACATGTGTTTTGACTGGGAGACGCGTCACTGCGCGAGCAAATATACGCGACTCCTATTTTGGCCAGACGAGCGCGGCTCGCTGCTGTGGGTAGGGTCCTCGCTGATTACATGGGCGCGTATTTCAAATCTGCGCGACTCTCCGCGCTTCACCAGACGCGTGCGGTGGGTATAGGGCATTACTTTTTAACGTTTCCCTTACACTTCTATTTAACAAGGTAGCGAACTAGTTTAAATTGAAAAATCTCTTTCTAAAAAACAAAACAAAAAACAACTGTTGGATACAGCCCGAGCCGCGACAAAATTTTTAAATAACTCACGAGAGCGAAAAGCTCAACTGTAGGTAAAACTCGGCATTCTCCGGTGAACTCATGCCGAAAAACAAACTAAAAAACAAAACTCCCTTTTTCTGTATGTAATTTAAACCCGGGAACCATTTCACTGAAATGTAACATTGTTGCTTTTAGACTTTTGCCATTTATCAAGCCTTGAATTGGTTAATTACAAAACTTTTGTGACAAAGGTGCCTTTACACTTTTCTTTTTTATTGATTTTTTTATTATATACCATGGTTTCTACTAACTAATCTGGCCGTAAAACTTCTTATTTTCTCTGAGTAGCGAGCCCCTCTGCTTATTCTCTGGGTAGTGAGCCGGTCTGCTTTACTCTAATCTGATCTATAAATATAACATTTGGCCATTGTCACCATTGTCAGTACTGGTTTAGTTCTTGTTTTGGCTTACTTCCTGAATCCCCTGTGCTGCTATGATTGGTTGTTGCGCACCTCTTTGGCCAAGGAGTTGAGTATTGTACAACCTACTCCATCAACTTGCATACCCATAGAAACATGCTTGCTGTGCCACAAAAACCTACCTGCCTATTTGACACTGTCGACTATGCATGTAAACCTGCCGTGCCGCTTGGTATGGTGGGAACCTAGCTTTAGTCTTCTCCTGCAGTCTGCATAATCTGATGTGAGGCCTTCATTCCTAAACAAATCCTGAACAGAGCATTGGAGCATATGAATGAACAGATGACTTTTTATTTTAAGTATTTAATTTTACAGGTGGGAGGTCATTGCAAACTACATGAACATCCACTCAACCAGCGGCACAAAGAGGACGGCCAAAGACGTCATTAACAAGGCGAAGAACCTGCAGAGGCTGGGTGAGACTTCCACACAGCTCATCGTTAGTTTTATATGTGAGGCTTTAGAGGGGACTTGGGCAATATGCAGCCCTATCCGACACATGGGCCCTATACAGCCTGTGGACCAGCGTTACTATGCAGCCAGGGGATCCTTCCCAGCTGTTAATAATGTGAATCCCTCTGTGCTACACTCAAACGTCCTCGGCACAGCAGAGCCACAGACTTTATAGCTTCTCTGCACTCTTTCCTCCTGCCCCTGCATCTCTATCCCCCAAAAAAGCAAGCGTCTGTTCTTCACAGATCTGGCCCTCCACAACATGCCAAAATCCAAATGTGGCCCCTGATATAGATGCATGTTTAGATTTGTGAAAGGATAAAGTCCGATTTAAATCGTATTGTACAACCCTAATTGTTTGTGAATGTTTTCTTTCTACACAGATCCAAACCAGAAAGATGAGATTAACAAAAAAGCCTTTGAGAAGTTTAAGAAGGAGCACTCCTGTGTCCCCCCCTCCATCGACAATGCCATGCCCTCAGAGAGATTTGACGGTAGCTTTTACTTAAAAAATGTTTAGTTTATTTAAAAAAAAATATTTCTGTTTGAGTATACATGTAGCATTGGTGTGACTGCCTGTGTCCCTTTAGGCTCAGAGAATAACTCTGCTGCCTGGACGACAGAGGAGCAGAAGCTGTTGGAGCAGGCGCTGAAGTCTTTCCCCGTGAGCACGACTGAGCGCTGGGAGAAGATTGCTGCTGCAGTTCCCGGAAGGAGCAAGAAGGACTGCATGAAGAGATACAAGGTACCCCCTTCACAATTTTTACCCAGAACAGTAGTTATACCTTGTTTGTCTAGATCAGGGGTGCTCAATACGTCGATCGCGATCTACCAGTCGATCGCAAAGGTAGTATTGGTAGATCGCATTAAATAAATACAAAATTACACATTCTAAACTAATATATACAAAAAACTCCGGGCAAAGTGGAGATTTTTGAAAACTCCGTTAATGCATTTGTGTGTAGACAGAGATAACCACAGTTTTGCGTTCTCGCACGCCACAGTACCACCCTAAATTCCTCTGATCACTGAAGCATGGATTATACTACCTTAAAAACTGTTCGCCGTGAGATGCTCGCAGCAGCGAACATCCTCGCTCCACATCAGAGAGCAGCAAAGTGATCGCGGGGACTCACGCTAGAAAACAACTAAACCACAACTAAACCAGGACTAAGGACGGGGTCAGTGCTTGTAAACATACGTCTTTACTCTGAGTGTCTTCTATGACTGTAAAAGTGCCGTTACCGGCGTCTGCATCAGAACTCTGCCCACTTCTGTGTTTTTCCCCAACGCAGGACAGGACGTAAGAGACGCACATGTTTGGAATGTTACGAATGTGATTGATAACGCAGATGTGTGGATGCAAATTATTTTATAAACTGAGGAGGGGAAATATTTGGATTTAAATAAACCAGGCATGGCACCACAGTCAAATGACATCTGTGTTTTACTCAGTAATGTTTTACTGACACTTAGGTGACTGCACATGCGCAAACAACCGCGCTCAGTGCAGGAAAGCTAAACCACGACAAACTTGTCAGCGAGTTACCACCAATTTTCCGGACTATGCATCCCTGGCCGATTCAATTCAGTGCAAGTCATAAGAGTAAACTCGGGTAATGACAAAAAATGTACATAGGTAATTGTGTTGTGTTGTGCTATATTGGCTCATGCAGTTTTGCATGTACATAAACATACATTGTAGATGGAAAGAATATTTTTTGAAATATGATTTGCATTTTTGTAGTAGGTATATCATTTTGACTTGATCCTTTTATAAGTAGCTCGCATGCTGAAAAAGTGTGAGCACCCCTGGTCTAGATGGAGCTTGACAATAAGATAAACCTTTACTTTGAACTCTACAGTAGGGACTAGATATTACAATTACATTTACAAAACCAAACTGAATTCCTTAAACTTTTCTTTGGGATCCAATTCTAAAAACTGGTATGGGTGTATAATTCTTCACAGCATACACTTATATTTATATTGGAGACAAGGTACAAATTTTGACTTTCTGTTTGTGTCCACAGGAGCTGGTGGAAATGGTGAAAGCCAAAAAAGCAGCCCAAGAACAAGTTCCTGGAAAGAGTAAAAAATGACATGCTGGAGAAAATAGTATTTGTTCTTTTAACATTGTTTATTGTCTTTATTTTTTAAGAAAACATTAAAAAGGACAAAAGGACAGTGCCCCTCTCACGTGTTTTATTTCTGTACAATTAACTTCTCATCCAGAACAAGCCGCTGCGGATCTGATTGTAGTCTGGCAGTTGTTCAATGGGACCTAAAACCAACAAGAGATTATATACAGTGTTTATTTCAGACAATGGGCAGATGGAAGTTAAACTTGGAGCTCCTGTTTACAAGAAAAGACAGATTTTCTAGGGGACTTAGTATATTATTTGGAACATTTAACAACTGCTTGTACAGAAATACAGGTGAAAATATGAAATAAGTATTGTTCTAAAGCAGGGGTCACCAACCTTTTTGAAACCAAGAGCTAATTCTCGGGTACTGATTAAAGCGAAGGGCTACCAGTTTGTCCATCCATCCATTTTCTACCCTTTAATCCATTTCTGGGTCAGGGGGGTGGCAATCAGAGATGCCACCCAAGTCGCATAGCACCAGCCCCTCACTGACCCTCTGCAGGTGGTGAGTCCACAGGAGGATGGCTGCTCTGAGTGTGAGCATAGCCTTGATCTTTCAGTGGGGGCTTTTGGGCAAAGTGGGGTTAAGTGTCTTGCCCAAGGACACAACGACAGCAGTCATCAGTGGGAGTCGGTGGAGAAGGTGCAGAGGTGGGAATTGAACCCACGACCTTCTGGGTTTAAGGCCAATGCTCTACCAACCGAGCTACTGTCGCCCCAGTTTGTTACACACTTAAATAAATTACCAGAAACAGCAGATTTGCTCAATTTGCCTTTAACTCTGTTATTATAATTAATATTTATCTTTGGAAACACTGATCAATGATTTCTCACAATAAATATCAATATGAAAACACTTTACTTTTATATTTTCTCTATTTTTCAAGTTGAACATTTTCAAATGATCACTTCTAAGACAGTCTTGTGAAGTCACAATATCCCATTTTAGCCACTAAAATTTTTTATCAAATCATGAATTACTTCATACCATGTTTGTACAAATAATAACTTGTAAAATACAAAAGTCAACTCTCAAATGTTTAAATAAATCATGTCACACGTGACAATCTCACAGGAGTTTAGAAACCAAAGCAGTCCCATTTACGCTGCTACTTTCTCCTCTTCAGAATCATTAAGTGTGTATCTAGTGTAGGTTTATGTGAGTTCTATGGACCCATCGTTTCAACTCATTTAACTGATGCTGTGAAAAGACAGTTCTGTTGGAAAGTTATTATTAAAGTGTATTCAGCACAAACTATTTACAAGTGCATGAGGAATGGAACAGACGCGATAAGCTACGATTCAAACAAAGGAACAGTGCAAAAGAAACGACTGCACAGTTTATAAGTTGTATATATGTTAAATAGTCCACAGTCTCCTGTATATCAGGCTCTGCCATGAGCCCAAACTACTTTTCCTTCGAAGCACGAAGCAGTCTGCTCTGAGTGCCTCGTCCATGCTCCTGCAGCCGCTCTGTGCTTCCGTCCAACGCACACGGACCAATCACAGTGGCGCTTCTCTCACACACGGACCAATCACAGTGGAGCTTCTCTCACACACGGACCAATCACAGTGGCGCTTCTCTCACACACGGACCAATGACAGCGGAGCTTGTCTGCATTTTCGAGGGTGTGTTGGAGGCTACGAAGGGCCTTGCGGTGATCCACGCAAGTTACGTCACGTTACCAAATTTGATTTTGAATGCTCTGATTGACGTTGCGTTTTTCACTGAGTCATCCAGACTGTTTCCAAGATGTACTACTGATGTTTGTTCTAACGTTTCTTTTTTGATAAATATGAATTCTTGGGTTTAAACCCAGATAGTCTAATCTTTCTTGAATACAATTTGGAAGCTTATGTTATGAACTTTGTACCTAACAGTAGTATGAGTGATGTCTTTGTGTTTTTTTTCTCTCTGTTGATCTGGATCTTGAACAGCTGTGTTGAGATCCACTAGATAATTTAGGCCAATATTATGTGGAATATATTTTTCTGAACAGACTTGTTTCATTTATCACTGATACAGACAATCAATTTGGTTTTAAAGCAAATCATGGAACTGAGGTATTTTATGTAACTATAGAAGTAAATATTCCACTGTTTTTACATATTTTTTAGATGCCTCTAAGAACGTTGATTGTGTGAATCACAGGAACTTGTGATTCACAGGAACTTGTGATTCACAGCTGCTTGAAATTGACTCAGTTGTGGAGAAGTTTAAAGCCGGATTTGGATACAAAAAGATTTCCCAAGCTTTAAACATCAAGGAGCACTGTGCAAGCAATTATATTGAAATGGAAGGAGTATCAGACCACTGCAAATCTACCAAGACCCGGCCGTCCCTCAACTTTCATCTCAAACAAGGAGAAGACTGATCAGAGATGCAGCCAACAGGCCCATGATCACTCTGGATGAACTGCAGATAACTACAGCTGAGGTGGGAGAGTCTGTCCATAGGACAACAATCAGTCGTGCACTGCACAAATCTGGCCTTTATGGAAGAGTGGCAAGAAGAAAGCCATTTCTCAAAGATATCCATAAAAAGTCTTGTTTAAAGTTTGCCACAAGCCACCTGGGAGACACACCAAACATGTGGAAGAAGGTGCTCTGGTCAGATGAAACCAAAATCGAACGTTTTGGCCACAATGCAAAACGATATGTTTGGCGTAAAAGCAACACAGCTGATCACCCTGAACACACCATCCCCACTGTCAAACATGGTGGTGGCAGCATCATGGTTTGGGCCTGCTTTTCTTCAGCAGGGACAGGGAAGATGGCTAAAATTGATGGGAAGATGGATGGAGCCAAATACAGGACCATTCTGGAAGAAAACCTGTTGGAGTCTGCAAAAGACCTGAGACTGGGACGGAGATTTATCTTCCAACAGGACAATGATCCAAAACATAAAGCCAAATCTACAATGGAATGGTTCACAAATAGACGTATCCAGGTGTTAGAATGGCCAAGTCAAAGTCCAGACCTGAATCCAATCGAGAATCTGTCGAGAGCTGAAGACTGCTGTTCACAAACGCTCTCCATCCAACCTCACTGAGCTCGAGCTGTTTTGCAAGGAAGAATGGGCAAGAATTCCAGTCTCTCGATGTGCAAAACTGATTGAGACATACCCCAAGCGACTTGCAGCTGTAATTGCAGCAAAAGGTGGCGCTACAAAGTATTAGCGCAAGGGGGCCAAATAATATTGCACGCCCCCCTTTTCAGTTTTTAATTTGTTATTTAAATAATCCAATAAATTTCGTTCCACTTTACGATTGTGTCCCACTTGTTGATTCTTGACAAAAAATTTAATTTTTATATCTTTATGTTTGAAGCCTGAAATGTGGCGAAATGTTGAAAGGTTCAAGGGGGCCGAATACTTTCGCAAGGCACTGTATCGTCAGTGCCGGATGTTATATGCACAAGCGAACACCCTGTCTCGGAAATTCTCCTCCTGCTCTGTACAGGGGAAATTAGCTCTGTTTCGAGATTACTGCTCACCTCTGTACACAACTGTGGGTCAATTACAAAAAGGCCAGCTTTCAGAAACTTACAGTTGCTTACAATGATGTCCATTTGGGCTTTTTTAATAACATTTTCAGCACAAGAGCCAGTGAACTCTTTGTGTCAAATAGAGTAAACACTTTGCAAGCTGTCTTGAGAAATTTAAGTTTTGTAGGTCGCCTGAACAATTCAAAAACTGCTTTGATTATTATATTGTCCAGTGTTGAGTGCAGCAAGGTACGTTACACGTCGCTGCTTTGGAAACATTGGTATGACTGCCTCTTGAAAGTTTAGAGGTTTTTATTGTCTGTTTATTTTATTTTGTATTTTTTCTCTGTTGATCTGGACCTTGAGTCTGAAAATAAAGTTTATCATTTAATTTAATAAACAATGGGTTTGTTGGGGCATGATAGTCTGCATAATTAACTAATCTGACTGATTTCTTTTGTAGTATAAAAATGGGCTTAATAGTAGTTATATAATTGTTCCCCCATAATTCTACACAATATTTTAGGTACGGAAAGAGGAAGGCATTATATAAGAAATGGAGTGACTTTTGATTCACAACTGAATTAAATTTTACACAATATTCAGAATTTTTTTATACTTTTGTTTTTGCGCTGTTTATGTGAACCTTCCAGTTTAGGCCATCAAGCTGCACTCACAAAAATGTGGTGTGGCAAACCCTCTCAATTTCCATTTAGAGTTTTTTTTTCACATTCATTGGTAATTTATTATAGTCAAACGGTCAGTGTATTTTTCGCTCAATAGTTTTCAAATTAAAGTTGAAAATGAGATATCAAAAAATGGCTTGAATTTCCATTTTTCATTTTGATGAGGAAAATGAAAAATTGGCATGATATTTGATTTTTTGTTTTGATGCAAAAAATGAAAAAAAAAAATTTGAATAATGCTTTAATCCGTGTAAATCCAATCCGTGTAAATCCGTGTACCCTTCGATCATTAGTTATTCCGTTTCAAAACAAAACCAGAAAAACAAATTTTCCATTCGTTTATTCTTATTTTCCTTTTCTAAATCAAATTGGAAAATCAAATCCTTTATGCTTCAATATCAATGTGTTTGTTTTGGCTCTAGTTTAAAATTCTCAAAAGAATTATGGCATTACTATTATTTCGTTTTATTATTATTTGCGACACCGGAAGAGAGAAGAGACCTCGCGGAAGGTTTACTGTTTGGTCCCTGCTTCAGCTGCAGTTTGCAGAACCCGCACAAGAGAGACTCATCTCTCTTCCTTTTCTTCTCCTGCCGCTCATTCACTCTCTGCTGCGTGGCCTCCAGCTCTCTCTGGTAGAACTCAGTGTCCACAAAGTCTCGGAATGGCATCCTGGAGTTGGTCAAACCCTCTGTGCGATAGGTGTTATAGACCTTGGTGGAGCAATAGAAATACCTGGTAGGACCCGGCTGGTAAAACTCGTGGATGGAGCTGCCATCGCCCTCATATTTGGATTTTGGCTGGCCACAAGACAGGCATTTCTTTGTGTGGGGTTTATTTGCTGGAGGCTGCTGCTGCTTTTCCAAGATCCGCTGCACAACCTTCTCTATGGCCTCCTCAGACAGCGGTGACATGAGAGTCTGAGCAGGAGGAGCGGGGTTCACTGCTGCAGGGGGCATGGTGAC